TAAAAACATTTTTGCTTCCTAACATCTTCACACTGCTGGGTTTTCTATGTTTTTAGATTAAGAAGATTCCACTTTTAAATGCAAGGAAATATTTTAAGCAAATTTCTTGTCCTATTAACCTAAGACATACTGCATAAGTTCATTCATTCTACACATGCACACACATTTTTTAGGTAGTCATCTCAAATTCTCAACACACACTGTGGTTAGTTTTAATACCATGATCCTGTAGTAACTCTGTTTACAAGACATCCAGGGACTTTTAAATACTAACAATTTTAATGCAGTATCACACCACCTTTTAAAAAAAATAAGATATTTCTGTTTTATAAAATTTTTAAATGTTCTGATAAGCATTTTTTTTTAAAGAGCAAAATTCTTAACAACAAACACCAATACATACGCAAAATCAGAAAACAAAAATACCCAAGTGCCCTTGGAAGTTCCACACCACCATATCCTTGTCAATACCACCCTGTAAAGAGGAGGCAGGGATAGCTATAAACAGTGAGGATAATGCAAACCTCTGGGCAGCAGGCTAATCAATTTAAAAGTAAAATTCAAATTATGTCCCTGTAATAATTTCTACTAGGCTATCACACACATACATTTCTTATAACTTCAAATGTTAATAGCTCAATACTTTTATAAAATTTTACAATCTAAAAATCTTAATTTTTCAAATGATATTTTACAATGAAATTTGCAAATAAGATATAAAAGTTAACCTAATATAAATGAAAAGTAGTAACAGTGGATTTCAGGTTTGAGCATTTCAAAACATTTAGGCAATAAAATAAATACAAAAAGCAAAAATTAGTTACCTCCAAAGTATTCTTATGGTAAAATATAAAAGAATTCCCATGCATGAATTCTAAAATCACGTTAACTTTACAGCTAATCAACCTGAGTTACCCTGCACTTATATTTTACATATTTGTAAATACTTTTCCATGACTACCTAAACACTTACTAATTGGTTAAATATGCTACCTATATTAATTCCTGCTAAAACTAAAGGTCTACCTTTGTTTTTCAGAAGTGACTTATATACTTTCAAAGTATTCAATGTTTCAGAAAAGGTGTTTATCAGGTTCTTAAGACATTTAAAAATGGCTCAAGGGATGATTTATAGCCCTTTTACCTTGATCATATTCACTACCTCGGATTTTGTTGAACAGATTCAGTTTTCTCCTTTTGAAACTCTTCCCTTACTCAAATAATTAAAGAATCTAAGATGTTATCAATATAAAGAGAAAAAATTAATACTTATTTCTTATACACTTGGAAACACACCAAAAAGAATATGTATTCCAAGCAATGTAAGTAAATTTCTTCAGTAAAACTTTTTTTTCCTTGGGGATGGGTGTAACTGGTAATTTTTTATATATCTTAATTTTCCAAAGAACAGGATTCTAAAGAAAAAATATTAAAACATTCTTAGATAAAATTATTTGGACTACACAGCTCAAGAGGCAAATGATTACTGAAACAAAACTTCAAAGATAGCTATAGATATATATTTTAGTCATCTGGCTTTTCAAATTTCACTTAAGACAGGAGCATTACATTTAATTTAGGAAACAACAAATTTAATCCTTAGAAAGGAAAATTTGCAGAATATCAAATCAAAATGTACATACTGACAATCAGGATTACATTAAAAATGAAGGAATAACCCCCACCTGTGCATGCTATTAAAACACAAATAGTACCCTTCAAATTTTAAAACTATACTGATAAAGCAAATTCACTAATTTATTTTGTTATAAATATCTACTTACTATTTACTAAAATATTTTGGTAATAATATATAGATACAGAATGTGTCAATATTAGCCCACACTTATAAATCTTCTACAGCAGCTAAATTCTTTGTAGGATTTCAAGTAGCAAAATTAGGCATATAAATTTCAAATAAGACTATCAATATATGAGAATTCTCCGATTCCAACTGAAATAAAGATTTTGAGTACACAACATCATTACATTATTTCTGTATGTTGGTATAATTTAACAGTAGCTTCAGAAAAGGATGTTCAACAGGTAGTATTTCTAAGGCATCACAAAAGCTCAGTACAATCACTTCAAATTAAATATTGTGCTGTGCCCCATCTAAATAAGACTCTCTAAGCGATTACAGATTTTAGATTTGTGCACACTGAGTGCATTTTCTAAATCAGACAAGTAGCTAGTTGCATCAAATACAAACATGAAGAAAGTTTTACACCACCCTATATGAGAGGAAGAAAAAAAATCATAATACTAGCACTTTTATTTAGATTGACAATAAACCAATCACAAAGTGTCCAAACAACCTGAATAACACGATGATCTAATATAACTTGAATTCCTTCATTTTTTTATAGAGATTGAATTTATTGATATTAGCATCTGGTTTGTCAAAGTGGCAATTATTCAAGATCTAAGTCTCATTTACTTTAAATGCACAGCATAATTCTGACTACTTATAGTCAATGTAACTGTCTTGAGCCAAAATACAATGAAAACGTAAGATAAACTGAAAAGGCTTTGTAAGTCTTAATGGCATTCTGAAACCTCCGGACAGAAGATCATTGGGCAGGGAGGAGTTTCCCTTCTCTATTGATAGCTTAATCCTTTTCCAATCAATTTTGATTTAACTGTGGGTGATGAGATTAATTTTTTAATGAGTTCTTAGAAAGTTGTAATTGCTTCCAAAATCAGAAACCACAAGATGACGTACTCAAACACGTTACCGATGTGATGTTGTTATGGAGGTATTTACAGAAAGTTGGAAGAACTCAGTCGTAAACACAAGTTAACATATAATGGACTACAAAAATAATAACTTGTTTATACAGTATGGCAAGAAAAAACATTCTATATAGGAAGTCTAAAAATTCAGCTCTAACTTTAATCCATGTCTATAAATCATAAAAACAAGAGGAAATAAGGATTTATTTCAGAAACTCCATATACCTGTGGAAAATGGAACACAAGTAATTTCTACTGAAGATTAACCTTAATCCCCATTATAGTACAGCTAACAATTTACATATTTTAAATTTGGAAAATATCGTGGAAATCTAAAACCTAAGAGCCGATAGTAGTTTATGGTCAGTAAACACTTTCTGTTAAATAACACAAATAAATTCAACGCAGAAGATGAAAACTCACAGGGCTCAGGATTTTTTAAATCTTTTCATTTCAAAGGCGCAAAGTTACAGCCCATGTATAGGATGGACTTTAAATATGGATGTGTAAACTTTTCCATGGTGTTGGTGTGTGTACTTTCCTTCCCCCTAAAGAAATGCCTACTGCTTACAATATTAAAAGAATCTTCACCACTCTGTAATTTTGAACCAGAAGTCCTCAATGTACCTTAAGCAAAATTGAATATTAGGTATTTTACAGCTTTTACAAAATGGCTGTAAAATCACATTATGGGCATACACAGCTCTTTGATCTCACTGCACAGAATTCATAACTGTTCAATAATGCTATACCATTACACCACACACCTTAAACTATTTCCATTTTTCCACAATTCCTTCCAAAATCAGCTTCCAAAGCAAAGCAATGTAACATGAAAAGTTCCTGGGAGAGCTTGTTACACAAAAGAACAGCTTGGATACAAACTATACACATATCCATCTTCAGTTGAGGCTGTTTATCCCTCCTGTCCCTCCATCACTCCTATGGGTGGGTGCACTGGAGTAACAGAAAGGGAAGGATCTTCCATCACCACACCCTCCTAGCACCTCTGCTTTTGGTCCTCAGACAGTGATTCTGTGTAGGTGATGAAAACCATAGGAAAAGAGAAGCTGTCCCTTTAAAATGCCCTGCTCTGTCCCATATCCCACGTGGAACCAACATCAGCAGCACTTTCCCATTAACATCAATGTGATGCAAGAGACATCATCCTTTTATATACATAAAACCAGAAAACCTCAGCTTAACATTCTTCAGGAAGGATGAACAGGTGAAGCAAACGTGTCAGGAAGGGGGAAACCAAGCAACTCCACACCCCTCCCCAAAAGGTACTCCAGCCTTGCACTCCAGCCTCTCTGAGCACCATCACCTCTCTATCCCTCCTTTGCAGAGCCCAGTTTAAAGAAAGGAGGGAGCCACTAACAAAACCTGAAGCATAAATGCGACGAAAATGCAATCTAAAGCCGGAAAGGTTTATTCTTCCAATCACACATATTAACTCTATTAAGAAAATGGCATCACTTTTTTTTCCACCCAAAAAAACCCCGCAAAGATCATTAAAAGAGAGTTATAAAATAGCAAATATAGTGTTTATCTTATCTCAGATCAGTCCACATTACCAATAAGTTTAGCAGTTTCTGCACTACCACCTCCCCCCTCGCTCCCCCTGCTTCTCTTGCATCGGATTTTCACGTTTTCTCATTGTCGGTTGAGTTATAAAAGGCTTTTGCCCTTCGAAAGTTTTAAAAAATAAATAAATATTAACTCCTTGGTCCCTGCAAAGTCAAAATGGACTTCAGGGGAAAGGCGGTACATACTTTTACCTTTAGCGAGAAAAGGGGGAGCATCCCGGATTTTTAGGGATTTTTTGCGATTTTTTAAAAATTTTTATTTGGTTATATGCCTGAGTTCTCCCTCCATTTTGGTTGTTTATGATACTGACAACAAGCTGTCCCTGCTCTGTGCCGATCTCCTGCTTTCATTTAGCACCCCCTCCCCCTATCCCCCCTCGCAGCCACACACCCCGGGCTCACACCTCCCTGCAGACCCCGCACCCCGACCCCGGCTTGCCCACCTGAGGAAAGGGCAAAAACAAATTCATTTCTCCAGAAAAGAAAAACCTCTTTTGAAAAAGGGGCAAAGTTACCCCAAGTCACTCAAAGTGCCCCCCAAATATTGCCGACTGCGGGTTTCCGCCAGGCCCTTTGGGAAGCGACCTTCCCCCGGGATGTTTTGGTGGAAAATGCGGAGAGTTTACTCTCAAAACTGAATTTATATTAATTTTTCCCTTATTTTTCGGGTCTCTAATGTCTTCCGCTCTCGCTGCTGCCGCTGCCGCTGTCACAATATTCACAGCACCAGAGAGGAGGAGGAGGAGGAGGAGGAAAACTTTTCAAACTTTCCAGACCCTGAATAAAGGGTTTTTTTTTTTTCCCACCGACCTCACCTTCGGGTCCCCAGCCGCATCGCCCCCTGCCCTGTCAGAAGCGACTTCGGGAGTCCTCGCAGCCCCGCGTAATTATTTTATTTTATTTTTTATTATTATTTTTCTCTCTGGGGTCCTGAGCAGGGGCTGAGAGTAGCACAAACTTTTCCTCCTCCTGCCGCCGCCGCTGCTCCTCTGCCCCCTCGGCTAGTCCCATAATTTAAATAACCCTGATATTTCTCCCGCTAAACGCCTCGCCGCCGCCCCGGACCCCCGGAGAACTCACCGCGGGGCTTTAACATCCTCCCTCCGGCCCGTCCGCCGCCTCTACACCGCCCGCGGAATTTCTAATAATTTTTTTCTCATATTTCGGGCTGGACGCGGCGGGCCTGGAAATTGTTTCCTTACGCCTCTTTCCAGCAGCCATTGTAGTGTATGCGCTGCCCCTGCAGCCCAACTTGCAGCTGCCGCCGCCGCCGCCGCCGCCGCCGCCGACGTCGCGCCCACCGCCGCCTCCCCCTGCCTGTTCGGCCGCCGCCCCCGCCTCCCATCGGACCGCCCCCAACCCCCGCCCGCCACTGCGCCCGCCCCCCACGCGCCCTCCGCCCGGGAGCCGTCCACTCGGCGCCGCCGCTGGCGGGAGCCGACCCACCCATTGGGCCGCGGCGCCGCCCGTCAAGGCGAAGTGTTAAGAGACGGGCCGCAGCTGGGAGGCGCGGTGGGGCGGGGGAGTGGGGGCGGGGTCGCGCGCCCCGCCCCGCCCACTCCTCCCGCCTCGGCCCTCCTTTCGCCAGGCGGGGGCGGGGCGAGGCCCGCCTGCCCCTGCGGCCCAGGGCCCCGCGCGGCTGTCAGTCTGGCGGCGGCGCGCGCCGATTGGACGGGCTGCCGCCGGGGAGCGGGGGCAGCAAGTTCGGATGCGCGCTACTTAAGGTCCTGCTGCGTGAGCCATTGACGTGTTTGGAGCTGGAGACGGCCTGGGTGCTGGCGAAGCGGAGGCCCGAGGTGAGTGGTCCCCCGCCCTACCTCCCCGGCGGCCGCAGAAAAGCGGGAAGAGAGGGGTGCCCTTGGGCCGCAGCGGGGCCCGAATCCACTTCTGCGGCGCGGAGGCGCTGCCGCCAGGTTTCGCCGCAGCGCGAACCTCTTCCCGTTGCTCTTCCTCCTGCCACAGCGGTCTGTTCGCTCCGGGGGCGAGGAAGATGACCCCTGCCTAGTCCGGACAACCCCAGCTCTTCTTCCACTCTCCTTCTCTATAACCTCTGAAGCGCAGTTGCCGGCCCCACCCCCAGTTCCCTGCGTTTTCCTCGCCCCTTGCGTCTCTCGGCACGGTCTCAGGGCACAGCAAGGTGTGTTCACCTGTGCGCACTGTCCAGGATCAGACGCTGGCGGGCTACACCGCGGAAGGCGGCGAGGCCTCGGATTCGCCCCATGTTTCTTCTCGCCCTGCCCGCCCACCTCCAGCGGGCCACCCTTGACTTCTTACCCTCTGCACCTGGCAGTGGGTTAACGGCACGGCGTGTGCAGCTTCCGGGTTTAGCAGAACCGCGGACCCTGCCCGGGCTCCGACCCCGGGGCGTGTGGGCATGAACGTGTTCAGAAACGTTCCCATCTCCCTGCCCTTTCAAAGCTACTTAGAGAGGGGGGACGTGAACCACTGGATGGGAAATCAAGAACTGCTTTATTAAGCAGTTTGCCCTTTGGAGTGGATTTTAGAGTTATTACCCGAATGTGCTATGGTTTTGTGGCCCCTCCTTCAAATCTTTGCTTGGTTTTTCTTTCTGTCTATCCTCTGCAAGTAGTAGAGCCTTGTAACATTTGTTTAGTACATTCAAAAAGTAATAGATAAGGCCCCTTCAGCCAAGCACTCGATGTTGCACTTCAGCCCCGCTTCTCACTGTAAATTGACATTTCCTCTTCAATTCCAGTTAATACACGAGGAACTCATGCAAAGGAGGGGACTTTCGGAAATCCAAATTTAGAGTGCCTTGTGTTTAGAATCCGGAAGGAAAAGGAAATGAAATGTGAAGAAACTCATGCACCAAACTCGAGCTGGTTATATGTCATGTTACCTAGGTATTATTTTTAAAGAATTTCTGACTGACAATAAAATATAGAGTAGGATACTTCCACGTAAGGCACGAAACTTTAATGCAAAGTTGTCTGATCCTCGTTGAGATTATTAAATCTAAAGTGTATGAACAGCTAAGAAGAATTCTGTGTTCTCACGTCATAGGATAGATGTAAAAAAGAAAGCTGTGAATTTATTTACTATCATCTCTCAGGAAGAAGTCAAGCGTGAAAAAAAAATTATCTTCAGGAGAGGAAGAAGCTTGTAGATATAATTGAACAGCATCGATTTCTTTTTTGCCAAGATGTTACTGTTTGCAGGATATTTTCTTGTATTGTTCAATGAAAATCATAAAATTATTATTCAGTGATTACTTAATGGACACCAGAATAACCAAACCCTTTTCCATTGATTTTTTTGCAAAGCCTGGTCTCCTTTGGCCTGGACATCCTGGTCTTTCCCATAGTAGAACCGGGCTGGGTGAGTCTTTTTTTTTTTTAAAGACGGAGTCTCCCACTGTCGCTTGGGCTGGAGTGCAGTGGCACGATCTCGACTCACTGCAATCTCTGCTTCCCAGGTTCAAGCGATTCTCCTGCCTCGGCCTCCTGAGTAGCTGGGATTACAGGTATGTGCCACCAAGCTCGGCTAATTTTTGTATTTTTAGTAGAGACAGGGTTTCACCATGTTGGTCAGGCTGGTCTTGAACTCCTGATCTTGTGATCCGCCCTACTCGGCCTCCCCAGCTTTTGCAAAGCTGTTTCTCTAGGAATTGAATTGGAAGATTACAGAAGCACAGCAGCATTCCCTGACTTCCTGCAACCCAGGGAAGTAATCAGTTAAAAAGAAGATGCCACTGGAAGTAAAATTTCTACTCTTTTGTTTTTTAAACAGTATAACTTTTCATAATGTCAACTAAGCAATAACTTGGCTTTTTGGTGTGTTGGTTACCCTACTATTGGCCATAAAATAGGCACTCTGGTACTTCAGTTGATGAATGTTTGTGCTAAAGTTGGACTGTGCTGAATTCCATTCTTATTTTGTATGCTAATTGCTGTAAAATAAGGAAGTAATTGTTGGAATGCATACTGTATTCTTAGGTTTTATTAGTGCATTTGGTTGCTTAAGAATAAGAGTAAACCACAACTGAATTATAATTCAACTATCTTTCTTTTTTGTTTTTTTGAGACAGTCTCTCTCTGTCACCCAGGCTGGAGTGCACTGATGCAATCACAGTTGACTGCAGCCTTGACTTCGTGGGCTATAGTGATCCTTCCACCTTAGCCTTCCAAGTAGCTGGGACCACAGGCACACGGCACGACACCAGGCTAATTTTGTATTTTTGGTAGAAATGGGGTTTCTCTGTGTCGCCTAGGTTGATCTCGAACTGCTGAGCTTAAGCAGCCCTCCAGCCCTAGCCTCCCAAAGCGCAGGAATTACAGGCAGGAGACACCACACCCAGGCCATAGATGCATTTCAGTCCAATATATGGCCTTTGTGTTGAGGCATGGCCATACAAAGGAAAAACACGTTCGAGTTTTTTTTTTTTTTTTTTTTTTTGAGATGGAGTCTCGCTCTCCTGGAGTGCAGTGGCGCGATCTCGGCTCACTGCAAGCTCTGCCTCCCGGGTTCACACCATTCTCCTGCCTCAGCCTCCCGAGTAGCTGGGACTACAGGTGCCCACCACCATGCCTGGCTCATTTTTTGTATGTTTAGTAGAGACGGGGTTTCAGCGTGTTAGCCAGGATGGTCTCGATCTCCTGACCTCGTGATCCACCCGCCTCAGCCTCCCAAAGTGCTGGGATTACAGGCGTGAGCCACCGCACCCGGCCACGTTCAAGTTTTTATTCACAAAATACAGAGAATACACGAAGTTCCTCACTAGGTGATCATTATGCCAAAATCAAAATTTCAGGTACTTTTAGGGCTATTGAGATGTATTGATTTATTTTCTGTCATCTGCATAATTATTTTTTTGTGTCTACCTTCAGTAAGAAGACTGTCAGGATGCCCGTGGTAACAGGGAGGCTGAGAGATCCTGACATAAATCCTTGCTTGTCGGTAGGATGGTTTGCTTTAATTTTCATGAGTGTTAAGTTGGAAAAACAGGCTGCTTTTAGTTTTGTGGGCCTTTGTTTTCTGCAGTTGCTGAATAAAGTTATTTCTCTACAAAAAATATTGCTGGCCAGCATATCCTATTTAACTAGAGCATTTTTAGATGTTTATAATTTCTGTAACATTCATGTTTTCTTTAGTTTTCCTTATTTGTATAATATGTAAGCATTTGGTTGTCACTGTAAAACTACACAGGAAAATGTAACACTGAGAATGTTTAGTCCAAACATGGAAAACTGGAAGGTATGATATTTTTAAACTGTCACTGACATTTATTGTTTCACTAGTAATAATAGCATCATGTCCTTGACAACCTGGCTGAGAGTAATGGGCTGATAATAGAATTAGCCTATTTAAAGCTTAAAGGTTTTCACAAAGGTATCTCATAAACAAAATGTCTTAAGAGTAGGCTTTTATTGGCATTTATTTGGTATGATTTGCAATACTTACTTGTGGTTTTGCTGCCTTTGAATAATGTAGTTATCATACTGGTCCCATGAAAATTATACTCTTTAGTGATATGCATTTTCCAAATATATACATTCATTAAATATTTGGCATAGAAATTCGGCTTTGCTCTGTTTAGGTAGAACATGTTTCTTAGATAGGTGTTGCAAACTATCTACCCATATAGCTAAAGCTTTTCTTTAGATCTGTGGTCCCCAACCTTTTGGGCACCAAGGACTGGTTTTGTGGAAGACAATTTTTTCCACAGACGGGGAAGGGGGTGGGCGTCAACAGGCGTTAGATTCTCATAAGGAGCTTGCAACCTAGATCCCTCACAGACGTGCAGTTCACAATAGAGTTCATGCTCCTGTGAGAATCTAATGCTCCCACTGACGTGACAGGAAGGGGAGCTCAGGTGGTAAGGCTCACTCGCCCACTGCTCATCTCCTGCTGTCTGGCAGGATTCCTAACAGACCACAGACCAGTACCACTTTGTGGCCCGGGGTTTGGGGACCCCTGCTTTAGATGACTTCACAGAATCATACCTTTCACTTTTAAGTTATTCAATGTACTTCCAGTTCACACAGCTTAAATTTAATCCCCATGTGGCACCTACTTTCCTTTGAATTTATAGCCTGTGTTGTTGACTTTGGTTTTGAAGTAATATCTATTAAAATTGCTTATATAATAGTGTATTCGTATAATGGAGTAAATGGTAGCCAAAAATGCATTGAGATAAATGGTGTTAATTTAGGTTGTCTTGATGTAGACCAGTTATTAGTGATTTACTTGGAATCTTGAAACCAACGTTATGATCAAACATTCAAGCCAAAATGAAAATCTGGAAAAGCAGGAGAGATGTACTGTGAGTCAGGAGATGGATTCTGATTCTAGCTGTGCAGTAGTCATTTAACACATTGCACCTTGCCTCAGTTTCTTACTAAAATGGTTACTGGATTAATTAATCACAGTTATTTGGCTCAAATTCCTGTGATCACATATTCAGAAAACGGGCCCAGATTATAAAAAGGAAGGTGTTAGCCTAAGCAGAGTGCATACTGGGATAGTTGGCGAGATTGTCCAGTTTTTATTAGCGTCTACTCGTCAAAATGAACACAAATGAACTATTTCACGTTATTTGCTTCTAGGGAAGCAGCTTGTTTATTTTTTTGTCTGTTTGCTTTTAGATCCTATTCTACCTTTTAAATGATGCCTCTCTTATGTCTGTAAGGAATCTGATGCTTCCACCAGATGTCTGGATGAAAATAACTATGACAAGGAAAGGTGTTCCACTTACTTCTTGAAGTATAAAAACTGCCGGAAATTCTGGGTAAGCCTAGATTGGTTAACTTTGAGTTAAAACCCATCTCCTAGGCTTGAAACTTGAAGCCTAAAATTAGTCAGTACCGACAATCCTTTCCCACTGATGGCTGTAGGGAAACTTAACTTTTCAACTTTATCCTCTACTGCTTTAGCCCTGAAAGATCCTTGAGAGCTCTCGTTAGCTGCCTCCTCATCCTCTAAGCTATAAGAATGCAGTTTTAATATAGGTGGGTCTTCCTAGGCATTTAAGTATCTGCAGCCCTAAAACAATGTCTTTGTTATAAATTTAATTTTCCTGGAGATGAACAGAATGTTTCACTTCCCTTGTCATAACACATCATGTTAGACTTCCATTTCTGCCTTTTTCTTTCTCACTGCCATCCATGGTAGTTAAAATGCTCCATTTTTCTGAAAACATTGGTATATAATTTCTGTTTCCTTGAACCACTGGATCCAGCTATTTCCTTTCCCTTTGCTAAACGCACTGTTGGTTTTATTTCACGATTATTCAGTAGCTCTTCTTGATGGACTGTATATACTTTTGTACTTTGTATATTCCCATCCCAATTGCTGTTAATGTATTCCTGTGGGAATGACTCCTTCTATTTAATTGTTAATAATTTAAAAACGTTTATTTGGAGTCCTATAATTAGGTTTTGGGTTTTTTTTTTAAACTTGGTTTTTAGAATTTCCTGTTTGAGGAAGCAATAGCAAATTACTGGCAAATGATTAGCATTTAATACATGACTGATTTTGGTTTCTTCTTTTTTATTTTAATGCCTGTACACAGCATTCTATCATGATACAGAGAAGACGGACCGGAGTGAAGCCATGTATGCCTACGGCAGCAGAAAGAGATGAAATCTTGAGAGCAATGGGAAAGATGCCTTATTGAATGTTTGCATTAAAAGTATTTATATAACTTAGAAGCAGATGAATATTTCTAATAAATGATCGCTGTAATATTTA